CCTAGACGTTGGCTAGCCTGGACTGGCCAGTTAATCGAAATGAGGCCAGAGGATGGGAGATGCGAATCCCAGCCTCAATGAACTCAAATGGGCCAGTCACTTAGATTACCTTCCTGTGCCCTATCATGGATTAAATGGTTACTTGTTTAAAAGAGGAAACTTAAAAAATAAAAAATAAAAATAAAAGAGGAAACTTGGTCTGCTCCTTTATGTTATCAACAAATATTTCATGAGTTCCTCCTCTGGGGCTGATGCTAGTCACAGAAGTGTGGCTTCTGTGTATATGTGCAGCCCCTTAGTCCTCAGGGCCACTGGGTGTGTGAGGTGTCAACAGTCATCCGTTTACATGACCTAGAGAAATAGAGATGCTAACTTCCCCAGATTCCCCAGCCAAAGAGAGTTTCTCCTGCCTCTGAACTTTCCCAGCAAAATATCTGCAGCTTTCCCATTACTCACTGCTCTCTATCTCTATTTTACTTTATTTAATGTAACTCTTCCTTTAGAACAGGATTATTGTTTATTTCCTTTTTGTACGTCCTAGAGTGAGTGTATGAGTGCAAGTATATAGGTAAAAACAGATAGGATGAATATGTTCAATATATAGGGAGGCATATTAAAATATTAACCACAGAACTGTGAGCCATGAAAGTATGAGTGATAATTATTTTTGTTTTGATTTTGTATGTTCTCTCTAAATCATATACAATGAACTTATCTTAATAACACACACCATAGGGGGTCCTTGGGTGGCTCAGTGGTTTGGCACCTGCCTTTGGCCCAGGGCGTGACCCTGGAGTCCCGGGATCAAGTCCCACATCAGGCTCCCAGCATGGAGCCTGCTTCTCCCTCTGCCTGTGTCTCTGCCTCTCTTTCTCTCTTTGTTATACATAAATAAAATCTTAAAAAAAAATAACACACACCATAAAAGTCACTAAAAAAAATGGAAAGTAACATTGGAATAGCAAATGTGTATTTAAATTATGAAGTAAGATTATATTCAGGGATGTACATATGGAGTTTTAAAAAATTATTGCTTTGACCTGAAGAAGCAATGGAAAGTTACAAATATGTTTTCAGCTCCAAAATAAAGCAGTTCCCTCTACGCTCTGACCAGGAACCTCAAAGTAGAGAACAGTAGATCTATATATAATTATATGATTTCAAGGAAATGAGAAAAAAATCTATAATTCCATCCATTATCCAACTCTTAATAAAACAGGAAAAGAATCCAGAGAAGCATGGTTTCTGGGAAACATCTGGCCCCACATTTTTCTAAAGGATTTGCTTCATTCACAAAGACGGTAAACGTGGGAAGCTGGTATATAAAAACTATCACTTTATTAAGTGACATGTGTTGCAATTAGGAAATGCTTGTTTCCAGATGCAAATAAAAATGTCTTATAGCACTTGAGTTGAAAGCAGTACTGAACAGGGTATGTATCAACCACCCAAACGGCCATGTGAACATTCATTCCCATTGGTCCCGGGGGAATTCATGTGAAATGCCAACCCTTACTGTTCTACTGCCTAGTGACAGGGCAAGAATGCCCTGGCTCCATTTTCCTCTCAGTGTCCTCAGGGGACTGGAGCTTTATTAGCAGACGCACATGAGCTTTAAGCCACCTCAGGATTCAATGCATCTTGTCACTACTCCGGCTGGAAGGGAGCTGTTCTGCCTGCCAAAGGAATATTCTGGAACTGCTGCTGTGGTATGGCTCAAGGATTCCCTGCTTCATCTAGTTCCCAAGAGGAAACTCTAAGCTTGACTTCACAGGGAGTGTGAATTGTTTTTCTGTTGGCTGCAGAATGAGCACTGTCTGCTCTTGAGCTCCATCTACTAGACCCTTGGACGATGACAGAGAAGTGGCCCTTCAGTCATCTCGGTGGCTGAGGTTACATGGTCATCGCTTGAAAAGGAGACATCTTCACATTCAATCACTGAAAGCAGTAGTGTTTGTCTACTACTTGAAGTTATGAAGTGATGAAATCACTATATCTGATAGCTTTGAAAGACAGATGAATTTCTTCTTTTTTTTTTAAGATTTTATATATTTGAGAGAGACAAAGTATGAGTGGAAGATAGACCATAAGCAGAGGCAGAGAGAGAGGGAGAAGCAGACGCCCCCGCTGAGCAGGGAGCTCAATGCGGGCCTTGATCGCAGGACCCTGGAATCAGGACCTGAGCTGGAGGCAGACGCTTCACCAACTGGGCCACCCAGGTGCCCCATAGATGAATTTCTGCGACAAAACCTAACCCTCTCTAACACTAGACTTTAGAGCAAAGAGAATATTCAGAAGTTCCTTCTCACAGGTTGTATTTTTGATTGACCAACATTTGAATCTTTTTTTTTAGATCTAAACCTTTTTTAAAAATATTTTTAATTCCAGTATAGTTAATATACAATTTCAAGTGTACAATATAGTGATTGAACACTTCCATGCAACACCCAGTGCTCACCACAGCGAGTGCGCTCCTCAGCCGCATCTCCTATTTCACCCAACCCCCACCCACATCCCCTTTGGTGACCATCAGTTCATTCACTAGAGTTAAAAGTCTGTCTCTTGGTTTGCTTTTCTCTCTCTTTTCCCCTCTTTGTTTGTTTGTTTTGTTTCTTATATTTTTTTTTTACCACATATGAATGAAATCATATGGTATTTGTCTTTCTCTGACTGACTTATTTTACTTAAGGTAATGCTCTCTGGCTCCATCCTTGGCATTGCACATGGCAAGATAAAAAAATCAAACTTTTATAGGAAGCTCATGTATCTCTAATAATCCTAAATTCCTTATCTTCAATGAATCTGTACAAGGAAATTGATGGTTAACATTAGATTTCTATTTCAATGAAAAGTATAGGATGCTTCTTATTTAAGGAAGTTAAAAGTAAAACAAGTATCAAATATGAAATTCTGAATTACATGTTAAAAAACATATTACATATGTGTTATACTATTTCCAATAGTTGGGATAGTTTCCAAGATAATTGGGAAGTTAACTTTTTATTAATCAGTGTTGGTTATTTCTCTCTCCATGGACCAAATAATTTGATGGTTTACTGTGAAATGTTATAGGTATTAGAAATAGTAGAGACATACATGAATGCTAAAATAAGAGTTTGGGCAGCCCTGGTGGCTCAGTGGTTTAGGGCCGCCTTCAGCCCAGGGCGTGATCCTGGAGACCCGGGATCGAGTCCCACGTCAGGCCCCCTGCACGGAGCCTGCTTCTCCCTCTGCCAGTGTCTCTGCCTCTGTCTCTCTCTCTCTGTGTCCCTCGTGAATAACTAAGTAAAATTTAAAAAATAAATAAAATAAGAGTTTAACTAGGAAGACTTAACACAGTTATGCGATTAGGTAAATTAATCTCAAACTAATCTCAAATATGGTTAAGTAGATTAATCTCAATTGGGGCTACTGTTTGTTGTGTAGACATACACCATCGAGAAACAGTAAATCAAATAACTTGGTTTAGGTAGTTCCAACCGTATCTATTTGGCAGGAAGGAATATTTCCTCTTTGAAAAACAATTAGTGAATACTGGTCCTATAATTTATTCTAAGTGGATTAGATTATTTTATGAGTTTTTAGCTATAAACAGTAAACACAATCAAACCCCAGAGGACAGTTAAATAGGAAAGTTCAGTTCCATTGGCTTCAGAATTCTATCCACAATTCTTTAGTTAGTAGCCAATCATAACTACATTGGAGAATTTCAAATCTGCAGTTTGAAACAAGAATCCATTAAAACGATGATGATATTAAGCTAGGATCAACTGCAAACCATTTAAATGTTCATTATCGAAATAATAAGATAAAATGTCAATGAAAATACTTTGCTAGTCACAACTTCTAAGTTTGTCCCCTCCTCAAAGTTATCAACATTAATAAAACTAGCGGCGACATTAACGAAAGTGCCCTTTAAATACAGATGGATAAAGTAAGTTCACTTCCCTATAATTTAAGTTCAGGGGTAAAGACCAACAAAACACAGGTATCATTCGTGTATGTTTCTTGTCCATAAACACAAATGAAAGTCTCTAACGCTTCAGTACAAACCATACAATATGGGTACTACAGTATAGGGTCACGGACTACGTGGTCTATTTTTTGAAAGTTGTTCAAGGGCAGTCTGTCTTATAAAACCAAATGCCACACACAATATGTGGTTGCGTGCGACTCTCCTACTACGAAATTATATTTTCTGTTTAGAAATAATAAGTTAACGTGAATGTTACTTTTCCAAAGTAAAGGCGATTGAGTAACAAATGATTTTGCTTTTGTTACCAGGTACTTTTCAAAAAGCAGCAAGAAGCCAGAGCATTTCACTGCCATTCAAAGACGATGTTTTGCACATTTGCCATCTGCTCACATCCTAGACCCACTCTCTGGAAACCAGTCTACCTTTACCACCCCCACGCTGTCTGGTCTCCCCAGCTTAGCTCGCCCTCCCTGATCTGGCCCTTTTGGCAGAGCTGCTTCTCTCCTGATGCTAACTGGAGGTACCACTTATGGGATGCTTGCTAAGTGTTCAATTCCCATCAAAGCCCCTTTGGCATATCCTGTTATGGTGCTTGTTCCGCAGATGAGCCCTGAGGCTTGTTCAGGTCAAGTAGCTTTTGCTAAGGGATAAACGAGTAAGCGGCAAAGCCAGGATTTGAACTTGCGTCCTGAACTCATGGACTCCCATTTAATTCCTCACAGTAGTTTAATGTCTGTGAAGTCTTAAAGTATATCAGAAATCCTTTCCAATTTTTAGGGGGATATGTCTCTGTTGCTTTGTGGAAATAAATACAAGTTCAGCAGAACCCTCACACAAGAGACATTTCAAATCCGATGATTCCAGAAAAAAGGGGGATGTCACGCAGGAGCCAGTACCTTGGTGAAGGTAAGTGCAATCCCAGGTGAAGCTAGGTGAGCTACTTCCCCTGAGGAAGGGGGGAAGGGCTTCTGTGGCCACACCTTTATTCACCCCCAAGCCGTTCCGTCTTTCCCCACAAGCTTACCTGGGTCAGGAAAGCGCATTTTGAAAACAATCAAAAGGAAAAGCAACGTCTGGTGCAATGTGTGCCCGCGCACATCCAGCTTGGCTGCCCCTGGCTTCTGCCTTCTAATAGCCTGTCCTCACCCCGACCTCAGGGGCGGATTCGAGGCCTGCTCTCCCCTGCCCCCGGTTTCACCTGCTATTCACACTGTGAGCAGGACAAGCCTCTGTACCTGAGTCGTTGAGCTGTACCCGCTCCGGAGAGTGTCGTCCTGCCTGGCCAGGTCCCAGGTCGGGAAGGCGGGGCTCGTGCACCTGCAGGGAGCTGGAGCCCAGCGCCAGGGCCCAGGCTGCTGATTCTTACCCCCAGGGCCAGGGCAGGGAGGTGTTAGAGACCTGAGCCACTCCCTGAGCCTCAGTGCATGTTGGGAGTGTTTACTTTCTTTCCTAGGAGTGGCTGATAGGACCGGCCTCTGCTCCCTGACACACACCTTGAGAACGGAATTGACTGTAGCTGCTGAATCCCATGGACTCTAACTCACCTCCACTCTGATCTCCCCACATGTGAAATGAGTGGCCCACAAGAAATGACACCACCGGGGAAAGAATGTCATGATTCACACTTCTTCCTCTTAAAAACGTGCTCTTTGAATTAGAAACGTCTTATTTTCTTTCCTTTGTTCTAACGCCACCTCCTTTCCCTGCCAGCACCTTTCCACCCAGAGCAGTGGTTCTCACATCTCAGGGCACCCCAGAACCACTATGTGACTTGCTAAACCTGCCTACCTCTTGGCCTAAGCACCCAAGAGACTCTGATCTAGCGGATCTGGGGTAGGCTACAGGCACCTGTATGTATGGCTACAGGCACCTGTATGTACACACACACACACACACACACACACACACACACACACTCCAAAGAAGAACCTGGTACCCATCAAAGTTTAAGAACTATTGTAATGAGGTACAGAAGAGGAATTAGATAATAATTTAGTCGTTGACCTACTGAATTGAACTTGGACACTTTGCTTCTCCTCAATACCTCCAGTTTCAAAAAGGGCACCAAGGACGTAGAGACCCTCAAACCACAGACGCTGCGGGAATACGAAGCACCCTCGTTTGGGTGGGCGTGCACACACACATGCACTCACACAAACGCTTTCTGGCGTCACTGTTCATTTACCTGTTTCTCTCGTAAAGCAGCCATTGGTAATTTTTAAGAAATAAATTATTCTTACAAGTGTAAACCTCAGAGCCCACAAAAGAAATTCAGCATAATTTCAACAATGAGTTCAGCAGGCAGAATTGACCTCTGGTGTCTTTTGAGTTCAAATGTCAAAGACGGGACCGACCATTATTATAGATTTGCAGGTTACCTGTTTCATAAATATGGTGTTTTAAGGATTCTGTATGTTCCAAGAGGTCAGATGGTTTATCTATTTCACTTGTGTGTGAAGGAGTGATCATCTTCTTTATCATTGTGGAAGGTTATTTTAATAAACTGAGCAGACTCAAGCCAATGAGCTTATTAAATCACAATCAAAGCTTCTACGGCCTCATATAGGAGGACAGTGTATTTTGAGATTACTTGTAGGTGTTAACTTGATTAGTTGGCCCCATGACCCCCTGCGGCATGGACTAGCCTTTGAACGAGGACTACCAGGACCTGCAGCATCTCTAGCCCCCAGGCTTAAACTTTGTCTCCTTAAACTTAAACTTATGCTCTGCCTCCACCATCTCTACTCTGTGGGGATCATTTGCTTATTATCGGTGTCAGGGCAACTTTATTTTTCATTTTTTTATCACAAACATCCTTGAAGCCTTTATCTGAATTCTGGTTTCCAGTCAGAGGCTCAGTGACTCCTTTTATTTTTGAGTACTTACTCTTTTGTAAGTATATCATTTTTATTTTGTGATATGAAAAATACGTAATTACACATGCGCAATGTGGAAAAATTTAAAAACACAGATGAATAGAAGAAAATTTCACCTATAATCCCAGCCCTCAAATATAGTTACCATAAACAATCGGTGAATGCCTTCATTGACATGGTTTCTGTATGGGTATTTACTAAAATATTGTTACTTTTCCCTTGATGTTTTATATTTAGTGATTTCACCATTAACCATTGTCTTTGGCAATTTCTCCTAGGCCCCAGGCTTAATCCATGTTAGCAGTTGACTTCAGGTGGAGGAGAGAAAGGTTCCTAAAGGGAGATTTTTGTTTTGTTTTGTTTTGTTTTGTTTTGTTTTCTGTTGTTTGCTAATACCTTCTTGTAGGGTATTCTAATGAGTGCTACAGCGACTTCAAGAATAGCTCTGTTTTGTTCCCAGTTTTGCTTGGAAGGACTTTCCTATGAGGGTTCTGGGTTTGGACCTGTGACTTGCTTTGATCGATGGGTCTGTTCCAAGTGACATAAGCAGAGGCTTGAATGAACTGGGCCCTGAGGCTTCACCTTTGTTGCTCTTCAAGCCCAGAATCACAGTATGGACAAGGCTGGGCTAGCCTGTCAAATGATGAGAGACCCTTGGCCCAGTTGTTCCCGTTACCATAACTGACAGCCTAAAGGCAGAGCCACTAAACTCATCTGCAGCTGACTATAAAGACCCACAGATGGGCCCAGCTGAGAACAGCAGAAACACTGTCCAGCTGAGCCCAGCCCAACGTTGGCAACCCACAGAACCATCAGTGATATCAATGGTGGTTGTGTTAAGCCACTAAGTTTTGAGGTAGGATGTTTTAGAGCACAAACTAATGGATACATCTGGTGTGTTTTTGTAATACACACACAAATATGTGCATGCAGGCCAATATCTCATTAATTGGAAGTTGAGACAAGTACTTGGATTACAATGTGTTCCTACTGCAATTTTGCTACAGGGACACAGCGACCCATAGCAATAGAACAGAAAAGGAGGCAAAAAGAGATGTGGGTTATCATCTGATTAGGTCATTTCCACAGACCACTAAATCACCCCTGAAAAATACATAGAGATGATTGTAACTAACTTGAGGAAAATACATGAAGAACAAGAAATTGCCTGATTCTAATGCTGTGGGACCCAATTTACTATCAGTTTGTTTCGTGGCCGTACACCTCATTTTGTTTCTGAAGTTGTACTTGCCTATGTTAGGCACTAAGTGAAGTAGAAAAGGAAGTAAAGTAACTCTAAACATTGAGGGGACTCCCAATAAAAACCTAATTGGATTGCCTTGTTAAGGAAGCCAGCCATACACAATGAGGCAACACAGTAAGTTACTTTTCCAACATGGAAAGCTTAAAATATATATATATATATATATATATATATATATATATATATATATATGTGTGTGTGTGTGTGTGTGTGTGTGTGTGTTTTATGATAGTCACAGAGAGAGAGAGAGGCAGAGACACAGGCAGAGGGAGAAGCAGGCTCCATGCACCGGGAGCCCGACATGGGATTCGATCCCGGGTCTCCAGGATCGCGCCCTGGGCCAAAGGCAGGCGCCAAACCGCTGCGCCACTCAGGGATCCCACATCACATCTTTTTTATCTGTTCATCAATCAATGGACACTTGGGCTATTTCCATAATTTGAGGATTGTGTATAATGCTGCTATAAACATTGAAGTAGATGTATCCCTTCAAACTAGGATTTTTGTATTCTTTGGGTAAATACCTAGTAGTGCAATTGCTGGATCATAGAGTAGAAATGGATAAATTCCTAAAAACATGTAAACTACCAAAACTGAAAACAGGAAGAAAAAACTTGAACAGACTGATAACCAGCAAAGAAATTGAACTGGTAATCAAAAAACTCCCAATAGAGGCACCCTGGTGGCTCAATCAACTGAGCATCTAACCCTTGGTTGGTTTGGCTCAGGTCATGATCCCAAGGTCATGAGCTTGAGCCCCGTATTAGGCTCCATGCTCAGCATGGAGTCAGCCTGAGATTCTCTGCCTCTCTCTCCCTTTGCCCTTACCCTTCCTCAGCTCTTAAGCTCTCTTCCTCTCTCTCTCTCTAACATAAGTAAATAAATAAAATCTTAAAAACAAACAAACAAAAAAAATAACAAACAAAGCCCAGGGCCAGATGGCTTCTCAGGCTACTTGTACCAAACATTTAGAAAAGAGTTAATATCTATTCTCCTCAAATTATTCTGAAAAATAGATAAGAAATGAAACTTCTAAGTTTGTTCTATGAGGCCAGCATTACTCTGATACCAAAACTAGATAAAGACTCCACTAAAAAAGAGAACTACAGCCCAATATCCCTGATGAACGTGGGTGCAAAAATCCTCAGTAAAATATTATCAGACCAAGTTCAACAATACATTTTAAAGAATCATTCACCACAATCAAGGGGGATTCATTCCTGGGTTGCAAGGGTGGTTCAATATTTGTAAATCAATCAGCATGATGCAACACATTAATAAAAGAAAGAATAGAACCATATGCTCATTTCAATAGATGCAGAAAAAGCATTTGACCAAGTACAACATCCATTCATGATAAAACTCTCAACAGAGTAGGTTCAGAGGGAACATGCCTCAACATAGTAAAGGTCACATATGAAAAACCCACAGTGAACACCGTATTCAGTGGAGGGGAAAGCTGGGAGCTTTTCTCCTAAGTCGGGGACAACACAGGGATGTCCACTCTCACCACTGTTACTCAACACAGTACTGGAAGTCTTAGCCTCAGCAATCAGATTACAAAAGGAAATAAAAGGCATCCCAACTGTCAATGAAGAAGTGAAACCTTCACTATTCGCAGGCGACATGATACTTCACATAGAAAACCTGAAAGACACCACCCAAAAATTGCTAGAGGTGCAGGGAGTTCTAAATGGATGCTAGGGAGCAAGCCCCTGCAGGCCAGGAGTCATAGCACTAACAGCCTGGATCCCAACCCCTCCCCACTACTGATGTCTCTGTGCCTTAGCCTCCCCACCCCCAGACAAGGAATAAGGATGAAAATAGTAATATGTGTCTCAGGAGGTTGTTGTGAGGATGAGTAAACAGGGAGGATGTGCAAAGCCTTCAGAAGAGCTCCTGGCCCAGAGTAAGTATGGGCACATGTCAGCGACACTTTCCCCCCAGTTTTATCAAGGTACAGTTGAGACCAGTCACTGTATATGTCTAAGGTGTGCTGCATGTTGTTCAGCTACCATGGCATATTTTGTGAGATGACCACCGCATACGTTAGTTAACACCCATCATCTCTTATAGAAAGCAATAAAAAGAGAAAGCAAAACA